TAGTTTGCGGTTTAATTTTATAGTAATGTGCTCTAAATGGGGGCAATTGAATGCATGTTGGTGCATTATATTCATTTGGCACATAATGATCACGCAAAGCAAGAGGAAGATTCACAACCGGTGGTGCTACATAAACACCTTGATTTCATTGAATAATGGGAGGTTGTGGAGCAAAAAATGACTAAGGCATTCCCAATGGAACATAACCCTATTGTTGTGGTGGAATAAAAGGTCTTGGCATACCTAATGATACTTGAATGTTGTCATAATGCACATTAGGGTGGAGGATACCTTGTTGGTCTATGTGACCAAGGTCCTCCACATGGTCCTCATTTTGGACTTCCATTGATGAAATGGAGTCGTTCAATTTACCTCTTCCCCTACGAACAATGGATTCAAAATTCAAATTAAATGGGACAAGAGGAGGATTTAATGATCTACAACTATGCATGCACTAACAAAACAAACAACAAGCAATAAGCAAGTAGCAATCACTTTGCCCCCACAACAAATCAATTAACAATTCTCCACATACAATGTTCCCATACTCCCATGCTTTGAACAATATGCAAGAAAAATTAAATTGTCTTCGCATTGTTGTTTCTACTTTTAAATGGACTTATGGAGCCTTGCTTTATTAAAAGTTTTTACTGTCCTTTATTATATGGGCCCCTGTTTAAGCATTCTGATAAGAATCTTAAGATTATAATCTTGCAAACCAATAATTCTCTTTAAGGTGTTCGACAAACAAATCTTACTTTTTGATAGGACCATATGCCTTAGGAAACTCTCAAGCAGATCGTAATGACCTGAAAAAAAAAAAATAAAAAAAAATAGGCGCAAAGCTACACATTTTCATGTACCCCTCACGCACCGAGGTGTGTCAGGTCTACTCTTGCTCCGACCGTTAAGTGCCAAGTCAGCCTCACGTTAGCCTGGCCATGTCATCATTGTTGTCAATTCAGCACCACGTCAGCAGTGTCACAATTTTTTTTTCTTCTGAAAACACTTATCCAGCCCATTTTTTTTGCGACGATTCCAAATTTACAATCCATTTTTGCATTTGGGATTTCTAAATGGTACCAAATGAGATTATTTTTCTTATTCAACCTGTTATGAAAGAGCTTGACCAAAGAAGGATATCCTTGCATGCTCCCACAGTGGCTTTTCAGTCGACATCCTCTCATCATAGCGGTTGACACAACCGCTACATTTTTTGTCAAATTCAAGGACATTCTTTTCAAGAGTGTCGCACTCGTGCTAGACTAACTTCATTTATGTCTGAACTTATTGGTTACATTGGATCCTTCAGGGGAAGTTTCTTCATCCATTGCCACTCTTATCTATTGCAATAATAGGTGTGCAATTCAAATTGCGCACAATTATATTTTTCACAAGCATGCCAAACAAATTAAGATCAATTACCATTTTATTCGTCATCATTTTCTTCAAAAGACTTTACAGTTGCGGTCCATTACTTCTCATGATCAGAGAGCAAATGTTTTTACCAAATCGCTTCCGCTAGGCCGTTTCAAGGATCTTATTTCCAAACTCAAGATGACTTCATATAATCCATCTTAAGTTTTGAATTTGACGGGTGCTGTTAGAATATATTGTTATTATATTAAGGTTGTTAACATTTTTAGGTTTATCTTATAGAGTTTATATTTACTTAATCTTCACACATATCATCTCCTATATAAATCCCCCGTATTCTTATACTATTGATATGACATCAATATAATATATAATTTCTTTCTTTTATATTTAAACACATGGTAATAGCATCCACTAAAATAAAATAATTTTACTTATATAACATAATACAATTGGTTAATAAACTGATTAAATATTGATACATAATGATAAGATTAATTAAAATAAAATATTTTTACTTATATGGCATAATACAATTAATTAATAAAAAGATAACGAAGTATAAAAAAAATATCCTTCTCTATTTTTTATTTTTCAGTTGCGGTAGCTCTCCCTTTACACTATTCCTTCAATTTATACTTTATTAGATAAAAATTAATCTAGATTAAATTACCACCGACTAATCAAAGCGCTTTTTTTTTTTTCTGTGTTTTTCTTTTTTTGGTATTCTCATTGTTGATGGAGCCTTTTACTTTATTAGAAGTTTTACTGTCTTCTATTATCTAGCCCCCTGTTTTATGCATTGTGATAAGAATCTTAAGATTATAATATTATAATCTTGCAGACAAATAATGCTCTTTAAGGTGTCAGCCAACAACTCCTACTTTTTGATGGGACCATGTGCTTTAGGAAACTCTCCAGCCCGTAATGACCTGAAAAAATTAAAATAAAATAAAATCAAAAGCAATTTATTTACTTTTTCTAAGAAATTGTCCAAAAGAAAATTACCTTTTTAGAAAGATTTTGAGAATTAAAAAAATATTGAAATTAAGATTTAAATTCTTGAAAATAAGATTAAAAGGTGTTGAAATAATATTAAATGTATCGCAAAAAAGATTAAAGGTGTTAAAAAAAAGAATAAAGATGTTGAAAACAAGACTAAAAGTATTTTAAAAAAAATTAAAAAGTGTTGAAAATAAAATTAAAAGTGTTGAAAATAAAATTAAAAGGTGTTGAAAAAAAAAAATTAAATGTATTAATAACAAGATTAAAGGTATTAAAAAAAAAATTAATTCAAAAAACTATTAAATCATATTAGAAAAACTATTAAACTATGTTGAGATAAAAATTAAAAAATTTTCAAAATATCTTTAATCGTTTTCTCAACACTTTTTAACACACCAAAAAGTCTAAAGGCTCCATTTAATTATTTTTTTTGGCCCGTCTTCTTATTATTGTTTCTACTCAATGGAGCCGTTAGGCCCTTTACTGTCTTTTTATTAGCTGGGCCCTGTTTTGAGCATTGTGACTCGAATCTTAAGATTATATAATCTTACAGACCAATACTCCTACACCATTCACATTACATCAATATAATATATAATTTCTTTCTTTTATATTTAAACACATAATAATAGCGTCCATTAAAATAAAATAATTTTACTTATATAATATATTACAATTAGTTAGTTAATAAATTGATTAAATACTGACACATAGTGATAAGATTAATTAAAATAAAATTTTTTTATTTATGTGACAAAGTACAGTTAATTAATGACAAGATAATAAAATATAAAAAAGATCTCCTTCTCTATCTTTCTTATTTTTTATTTTTCAGTTGCAGTAACTCTCCCTTTACACTATTCCTTCAATTTACATTTTATTAGATAAAAATGAGTGTCGATTAAATTACCACCGACTAATCAAAGCGCTTTTTTGTTTTTTTTTTTGGTGGTTGTATTCTCATTGTTGTTTCTACTTTTAAATGGAGCCTTTTACTTTATTAAAAGTTTTACAGTCTTTTATTATCTGCCCCCTGTTTTGAGCATTGTGATAAGAATCTTAAGATTCTTGCACACAAATAATGCTCTTTAAGGTGTCGGCCAAACAACTCCAACTTTTTGATGGGACCATGTGCTTTCGGAAACTCTCCAGCTCGCAATGACATGAAAAAATAATAATAATAAATAAATAAATAAATTTCCAAAAGCAATTTATTTACTTTTACTAAGAAATTGTCCAAAAGAAAATTACCTTTTTAGAAAGGCTTTGAGAATTAAAAAAATGTTAAGAACAAGATTAAAAGGTATTGAAATAATATTAAATGTGTCAAGAAAAAAATTAAAGGTGTTGAGAAAAAAAATAAAGGTGTTGAAAATAAGATAAAAAATACTGAGAAAAAAATAAAAAAGTGTTGAAAATAAGATTAAAAGTATTGAGAAAAAAATTAAAAGGTGTTAAAAAAAAGATTAAATGTATTGATAACAAGATTTAAAGGTATTAAAAAAAAATGGTTAAATTGAAAAAACAATTAAATTGTATTAGAAAAACTATTAAATTATGTTGGGATAAAGATTAAAGATTTTTTTAAATATCTTTAATTTTTTTTTCAACACTTTTTAATTAATTAATTAATTATTTTTTTTTTTTTTTTTGGTCTGTCTTCTCGTTATTGTTTCTACTCTTAAATGGAGCCTTTAGGCCCTTTACTGTCTTTTTATTAGCTGGGCCCTGTTTTGAGCATTGTGATAAGAATCTTAAGATTATATAATCTTACAGATCAAACTCCTACTTTTTTATGGGACCGAGGGCTTTAAGAAACTCTCCAACAGCTCGTAGTGATCTGAGGAAAAAAAAACCTGTAAAAAAGTCAAAAAAACAATTTATTTACTTTCACTAAGAAATTGTCCAAAAGAAAGTTATCATTCACTACCATTATAGTAAAAAAACAAAAATAAAATAAATAAATAAATAAAATTTACTCTCTAAAAAGTTGGATTTTCAAAAAAATATATTTAATTTGAAACAAAAAAAGGTGAGCTAAAACAAGATGAGTATATTTTGTAAAATAAAATGAGTTTCACCGATAGAAAAATGGTCCACCTCAATAATTTAGGGTATTGTATGTAGTCGAAAGGGATTTCATATGCATGTGAAAGTAAGGTAAAATATCACCAAACCTGCATTTTCCAAGCCAAAGCATATGGGCAAGATTATTATTTTCACACCTTTATTTTATGTCATGCCAAGCTACACATAAATTATTACACCAATATTTGTATATATAGATATATATTTTATTATAAAAAATAATAATTACAATAAATTGATAAATATTACTTATATTATGCATAAATAATTAATTAAAATTATTGGAGGGTCTACAATTCTACTTGGGGGTATACTACTTATTCTTTATAGTATTGGGACTTAAGTTTCTCTATCTCTCTCTCTCTCTCTCTCTATATATATATATATATATATATAAAGGGACAAAATTTAAATATTATTGTAATAGGTTCTTGAATATATTTTGTAAAGTAAAGTAAAATGGGGTCCACCAGTGGAACACCTCAATAATTTAAGATGTCCTTGTATCAAGTCAACAGGGAATTCATGAGTGGTTGAAGGCAAGGTAAAATATTGCGAAACATGCATTCTGTAGGCCAAAACATATGTGCAAGAGTCTGAGATTTGAGAAAAATTACGATCAGAAGCAAATCGCTTCTGTTGTAGCAGCGACGGAGAGAAGACTCGTATCAGTGTTTGTGGCAAACATATCAGGTACATTTTTTTTCTTTCTTTTCTAAAGAAGTTGATATATATATATATATTATGCTCCACAAAATAAATATATCTTTTTGCAGAGATTTTCACAACTGACATGAAAATCTTTGAAATTTTCTTATTTTTTGATGTGACAAAGAAAAATAGTTTTTTCTTACGTTTTGATGTGGATCCGATATACTTCTACATGTATATATAACAACATAAAAAGGACAGAATTCATATATATATATATATATATATATATATATTATATAATTGCATAATCTGTAATAGACCTTTAAATTAATGTACAAATGAGAGAGAGGATAAATAGTAAGAGATGAGTCAAATGGGTTCTGATTATATGTCATTTTAAGTTTGGATTTTGATGACATTAAGGTTGACCATGTCGCAAAAACATGTAAATTGAAAGGGATTGCAGGTTAAGATTTCGTTTCGCACAAACTTTATGTGAGAGAATCATTGAATTTATATATATATATAAAATATTGTTCAAACCAAACTAAGATCTATATTCATTTTTTTTCTGTCATATTTTTCCAATGACAAATCGTTTTATGTCACTTCGTATAGAATTCTGAGATTATGAAGACAAATAAAGCATTAAATAGTGGCAGTGATAGTAATTCATTGAAACTTGTTACATAGATGAACATGAGAACATAACATTTATTTGATGTTAACATTTGAAATTATATATATAATAACATTCATTTATATTTTTCTAATTTTTTTTTTTTTTGCTTTTTATATGTAAAAATAAACGAATAATTTAGTCTCTTCACTCCCCTTCTATTTCACCCAGAATTAAAAAAATATAAATAAAACTTCGTGCCTAACTCAATGGGACTTTGATATGCATTAATCAATTATTACTATTATTATTATTATTATTTATTTATTTCTCACCAAAATTTTTCTCATGTTTTTGCTTTTAATATTTTGTATGTGTCTTTTTTTTTTTTTTTCCTACTGTCATACTAATATTCATGAATTTACTGTCGTATTTTGTAAATTCATGAATTGCAGGTTAAGATTTACTTTATAATACCATGTATGTATTCATTTCTTTATGTGGGAATCATTGAATTCATATAAAATAATATTGTTCAAACCAAACTAAGGACTTTATTCATCATTTTCCTGTCCTATTTTTTAAATCTTTTTATGTCACTCCATATATAATTCTGAGATGATGGAGACAAATAAAGCATTAAATAGTAATAGTGATTAATTGAAACTTGATAATGAACATGATAATACTATAACATTTATTTGATTTTAACATTTGAAATTATATATATCATTACATTCATTATATATAACTACCAGGGAGGAAGAAACAATTCAATTAAGCTTAAGGAAGGAGAGGATTCTCCATACTTGGAGTTTGGTTACTTCAAAGGTATAATCTTGTAACCTTATTTGATCGTCTCTAAATCACTTGTTCATCCATTAATCTTTGAAAATGACTATCTATTTCTACACCAAACAATGTTTTACATGTTTCCATTTCTATGATCCAATTCCATCACCAGTACCACTGAAAATTAACTAGAGTCTCTCTTGTTTAGTACCACTGAAGATCCATGAGGATGAAATTTGCTAGTGCTATTGCCATTGCTCTTGCTATTGCTGCGGCATCACCATTCATAGCGGCATCGCCATTCGTGAGATGGATTTGGGGGAAAATTAGGGAGCCCTTGATCATTGCAGTTGAAGGTGCTACAGCATGGACATTCATAGCGGCATGTCCTTTCATAATTTGGGCTTGGGAGAAAATCAGGGAGCCCTTGATCAATGCAGTTAAAGGTGAGATTTGTTACTTGTTTCACTATGACCACAATATTCACAAGGTTCGCGTGGAAGCTGAGAAGCTTGTGCGCCTGAAAGAAAGGGTGTACGTTGCTGAAGATGGTGTCCAGACCTGGCTTGATGATGTGGATGTTATCACCGCATGGGTCAAAAATCTCATGAAAGACAAAGCTAAGGTGGACGAGAGTTGCCTAGGCGGATGGTGCCACTGCATCTCCCGATACCAGTTGAGCAAAAAAGCAAAGCACAAAACTGATGAAATTACTGCCCTCCATGAAAAGGGCAGCAATTTCAATATTTTATCCCACCCCGCTCTACCTTCTCTGAAAGATTTTCGCACTTTCCCAACAAGAGCATCAGTCACGGAGGAGATTATGGATGCTTTGAAGGACGACAACACTCACATTATTGGAATTTGTGGAGTGGGAGGTGTGGGCAAGACGACACTAGTGAATGAAATTGGCAGACGTGCCCAAGACATAGCCCTATTCAACCGAGTTGTGATGGTCAAAGTTTCTGAAACTCCAAGCCTGACACAGATCCAAGAGGAAATCGCACGCTTGATAGGCTGTGAATCGCACAGAGAATCATTATGGCAAAAAATAAAGTCCAGGCAGGTTCCGGTCCTGATAATACTTGACGATGTCCGGGGCAAACTTGATCTGGGGGCGGTTGGCATTCCTTTCTGGGAGGATCATTGGGGTTGTAAAGTTGTGTTAACATCTCGAAGCCATGTTGTCTGCAAGGACATGGGAGTTCAAAAGATTGTTCCTGTCCATGCGTTGGGTACGGCAGACGCTTGGGTCCTTTTCAAGGAGATGGCCGGTGGTGAAGCTGTCGAATTGAATCCCATTGCAAGAGAGGTATCAGATGAATGCGGTGGTGTTCCACTAGTAATTATGACCATCGCTGCAGGGTTGAAAAATAAAAACCAGCACGTGTGGGCTGCTCGGGCTCGACAGCTGAAGAATGCAAACTTACAACAGGGAATGGAAAAGAACGTGTTTGCCAAACTTGAGTTGAGTTTCAATTATCTCGAAAGGGAGGAGGCCAAATTATTGTTCTTACTGTGTAGCTTGTTTCCAGAAGATCATGACATTTCGGTGGAAGACCTGATGAGATACGCCATTGGGCTGAAGGTGTTTGGAGATGTCAACACCATTGAAGAAGCAAGATATAGTGCCCATGATGTAGTAAGTACCCTTATTGATTCTTTTATGTTGCTGGATGGTTCTAAGAAAGGGTTCGTTAAAATGCATGGTGTTCTTCGCGATTTTGCATTATATATTTCGTCTAAACATGACAAGTACCGGTTCAAGGTTATGTCTGGACTGAAAAATTGGCCAGATACAGAAACATTTGAAAATTATTCAGCCATCTCATTGATATCAAATGATATTAATGAGCTTCCTCATGAGCTATCAGCCCCAAAACTCCAGACCTTGCGAATACAATGCAATTCTCAGTTGCAAATTCCAGATGATTTCTTCAAAGGATCCAAAGATCAATTGATTTTTTTAGAAATGAGCGGTATCCATTTCAAGCCAATACTTCCACCATCACTTCAACCGCTTTCTAATACCCTTCGAACCCTTCATCTAACTTCTTGCAAGTTAGGGGACATCTCTATGATAGCAACACTAAAGAATCTTGAGATTCTCAGCTTTAGTGGTTCTGAAATTGGTGGAATTCCTTGCAATATTGTCGAATTGAGTCGTCTGAAACTCCTTGATTTGACCAACTGTAAAATGCTTTCAAATATAGTACCAGGCGTCATATGCAGACTTCCTAGATTAGAGGAGCTGTATTTGCCACAACGTTTTAACTTCGACAATCTTGTTGAGCTCAATTCCTTGTCTCGATTGGCTTGCCTGCAAATTTTTATTCCAATCGATCTTTTGCATATAGATTTAACTGAGCGCGCACGAGAGTTAACAAGTTTCGACATAACATTTGGCATTGGAAAAGCATTTGAGAGTCTTCATGTATACAACAAACCTTATCCTTATGTAAACATGAGAAGCTTGACAATTGACCATGATGGGCCAATACAGCCAATAATGCTGGATTGGGTTAAGTTGCTGTTAAAGAAGACTAAGCATCTATTTTTGGGCCACTTGAAGAATTTGAATAATATCTTCAGTGAACTAAACGAGGAGGGCTTCAATGAATTAAAGTCTCTTGAACTCGGTAGCCTTAAAGGGACGGAATATCTGGTGAACACAAAGGAGTCGACACCGCAGATGGCCTTTAGCAGCTTAGAGGTTTTGTCGATTTCTAACACGTGGAGCTTCATTGAAATATGCCCTGGACAACTCCCGGACAATTCTTTCCGCAATGTACGAGAACTACATGTGGATGAGTGTATTAACATGCAGAAGCTGGTTTCATCCAGTTTGCTAGGAAGGCTAAAAAATCTTGAGAAGCTCCGTGTCTATAAATGTTATAATCTGGTACATGTTTTTGAAGAGCATGTAGTCGCAGAAGTGTCGCTCTCAAAGCTGAAAGAAATTGTTCTAGATTCTTTGTCCAATACGACACATATATGGAAGGACGGCCCCCATCAATTTATTAGCCTTTGTAACCTTGAGCAGCTCTGTGTGTGTTGTTGTCCCAAGTTAAGAAAGTTACTCTCTCCAAAGCTATTACAATGGCTTGTTCGCCTTAAATACCTTGATGTTATTGCTTGCCATAGTTTGGAAGTATTATTTGGACATGATGAGGAGCAAGATACGGAGACGGCAGTCCCTTTTTTGAGAAGCCTCACCCGTGTAAGCGTGTATCATTGCGAAAATTTAAGACGCCTTTTCTCAACCTCCATTGTTAAAGGCGATCTTGAGAAACTCGAATGTTTGAATGTATCCCGGTGCTACAAATTGCAAAATGTAATTGAGGATAAGAAAGGAAAACAAGAAGCGGCTTCAGTTGAATTTCCGTGCCTGTCCTCGATATCACTTATCCAACTGTACAAGTTGAAGAGTTTCTGCACTGGGTATTATACTATTGAATGGCCATCTTTGGAAAGGCTGGATATCCGATATTGTTCCGAGATGGAGACTTTTGGTTATGGAGACCAATTAACACCTCAACTGAAGAAAATAGTGAAACACGAATCTGAGGGGCAAGAGATTGTGATCACGATCAATGGTGGCGACCTTAATCACGCTGTGCAAAACCACTTCGGACCCAAGGTACGTATCATTGAGCATATATAATGGTCATCCATGGATCACTGTATAGATTATATCCAAATAATTAATTACAATGATAAAGAACAGTGGGATGGTTTTTCAGGCAACAACTCCGGAGGCAGGTCCCAGTCAGTCTTCCTCGTAAAGGCATGATCCACTTAAAGATTCTGTGATCAGGTTTGTAAGATGAATTATTATAGGCGACTAGAAGAAGTCTTAATATAAATATTCACTGATGAAAATTTTCTTCTTCCTTGTATTTGTTTGAAAAGTAGGAGCTTGGTGATGATTCCCAAGAGTTTGATTTCCAGCTAGCTCTTTCCGCAATCTGCAAAAATGGAAAAATGAAAATGGTGTGCTTGTTTCAGTTCTTGGTTATGTGTGCTTCTTTCATGTGTCCTAATCTTTTGGTGTGTTTCATTATATTTGTGGCGATTTGTTTACTTGTTTAATCCAGAATACTGTATCTGAGTGGAATATTTTATATATAAATTTGTTGTTGTTGTTGTTGATTTAATAAAGTAGCATGAAGTTTTTTTCGTTTTTTTTTTCCTTGACAAATAACCCTCACAATATTTTAATTTACCTTTTGCTTTAAAATAAGAAAATAATAATAATAGTATGAGGAAGTAGAAAATTTTCCAAGTGATATAAAAAGGAATTTCAGAAGGCTTTCTATCAACACTCTTATCCAGCACTTAAATATCAATTCTACCATCTTAAGCAAAAATCAAGCGAGTGAGGGATACATTTGATATAAATATATAGCATATAGTCAGATACTCAAACACTCAAACACATAACGCAACTCAAAGAAATATAACATATGCAAAAGACCGACTCACAACTTGAAATGTAAGACATATTAATATATGGAGACCCAAAGCAATACATACCAATCAAGCTGAAGTGCATTTAGATATAAATTATAAAAGCACCTTACTATACTACTAATGGGCATATTGACATTACAATATTTGTTCTATATATATATATATATATATATATATGCAAACACAAAGAGAATAAGATTGAGAGAATTAAAGAAATCAAATGTTAAAGCTACAAAGATGTGATTGTATAGATTTCACTTTCAATTCACATTTGCTGATTTAATAAATTACTTAAACATAAATCAGTATTATTCAATATGTTCTAAAAATAACTAAAATTTAAGTTAAAATTTAAAATAAGCAATGTAAAAACTGTATGGAAAATGTACATGGGCCCAAGAGTACAAGACTTGGGGAGGGAAAACTAGCCCAACCCACAAAATATAAAGCATAAATAGGCGTTATCCCACAGAGAAAGAACAGCCCAAAAAGATAGATGCCCAACAACTTCCATAAGACCACACAACTGTAACTGAAATATTCCATGATCACTTAAAGAAATTTAATCAGGATTAGTCGAAACCACGAATGCTTTACTAAGATGTTGAATCTGTCATAAGGGCTGTAGCTTGCAAGTATGATGAATCTGTCTAGTTAAGAAAAAGTTCGATTAAACACGTAGGCACGTTTGTTTCGACGTAAAATATTTTTCTCGAAAAATATATATATTTTTTTCAGTTAAAATATACTATATATATTTTTATTTCTCTGTGTTTGACAAATGTCTAGGTTGAGTCCATCGAGTGGGAAGTATATAATAGTTTACTGAATAAGTTATTTTAGATAAATTTTAATATTTTTTTTCTTTGTAAATATTTTATAACAATCAAATACCAAAAACACAATAAATATTTTTCAAAAAATATTTTACGCTCAAACAAACGGAGCCGTAGTTTAAATTCCCGATTAAAACCATGATCATAATTGTCAAACTTTGCTATATTGTAGCTCTGGTTATATAATTCTATTATGTCCCTTGCTTTGGCTGTATGCATGGCATGAGATGAAGCATTATATTTGCAATCTTGTTGGAAGTCAACTTCTCCTTGGTCCTCACTTGATTCTTCTTCTAGTCTCTATTTTGATGTATTTTTTACTAGTTGCAGTTCATATAAATATGGCCAGCTGATTTTTACAAGTTTATGACAATTTCTGTGAGAGTGATGATCCAGGTCTTCACGATGTCTCACGTAGTGGGTCTTCTATCGTAGCGGTGAATCTCCTATTACTTTTGTGAGACATCATATTATCACGTTGCAAAACTCATACAAGGAATATTTGTTTGCCTCAGTGAAGCTTGGTTCAAGCCAGCTTAGCCACAAACTTGGCCTTTGACAGTCCTGGCTCGCTCGTGAGCAAAGAGTCTGTCACTGTATCTCCTTAGGGCACCAAACAGTTATTATTGTCGAATTTTGGTAAGAGTAGTACGTGGTTATATATTAATAATAAAATTTATTTGTAATCTTCTATTTACGATGCCAAATTCATCAATGTTGTTATGAATGATCGAAACTGAACTCGAAGTACATGTTAACTAGAATAAATTAAAGAGATAAAAAGAGAAATATATTGATACATGATTAGTTCTATACAAACACAAATTTTAAAAATCTTTTCACAAGCAAATAGTGTTCTTATTTAGTTCCTGCTGTTATAATATTACTCATATTTCTTTTTACATTTTTCAAGTAAATAGTTAAAAGTGGAAGTAAAATAATTTTTTTTCCTGATAAAGTGGGTTTTATATATTTGTCCAAAGAAAAAGAAAAAAAAGAAATGGTGTTTTAGTTTAATTGGCCCATTCAACCAAATGCACTTCTATATTAGACTCAATTTTGGTGGTCTTCTTCAATTAGTTAGACATGAACATATATTATTCCCTAGTCGCCACAAACCAACTGGTTAGTATATATTTTTCAATAAAATAGATTAAATACTGTTCAAATCGTTTGATTTTTGTATTTAAAAGGTCTTTATTAATAATTATATATAAAAAAAAATTCTTTATTAATATAAAGAAGTAAAGGCTAAAAAGAATCGCATCAAAAGGACAGAATGCACACAATTTCATTCGGTATAGTAGACAACTAAATTAATATGCAAATGAGAAAAAGAGGATAAAAATTAAAAATGTGTCAAATATTATAAGGGTGTGCCATTTTAAGTTTAAATTTTGATGACATTAAGGCTGACCATTTTTTACCATATCAATTTGTTACAAAACATGTAAATTAAGAGAAATTATTTATTGCAATAATTGCAACGATGACATGGTGCAATTAACGGTTATAAATACTTTATCAAAGTAAAGTGAACCTCATGTTTAGAATTTTTAAGATTTTAAAACTCCTTAGAGCATCTCCAATCATTGTGTGTGTGTGTGTGTGTGTGTATATATATATTTTGTAAATCTGATATGTCATAATAGATTTACACAAAAATTTAGATTTTTTATTTTTAAGTTTTATACCTTTTATGTAAAAATATATCCCCCAATAACAACCAACCAATGTCATATTTGGATCCCACATAATTTTTACAAACTTACTTAATACATGGTTGATTTGTTAATGGAATGAGAAAGATGGAGGAGAAAGGAAATATGCTGATGTGACTGTGTAAAAAAGTTGTGTAAAATATACAACAATTTTACACATTGGTGACGTGGCAGTATATCTTAATAGACTGCTGGAGATAAAATAAAAAATAAAAAAATAAAAAATTACACATCATACGTAGTAATGTATATTTTACACAAAAGAGTATTTTAACATACTGCTGAAGATGCTCTTAGAGCATCTCCAACCGTTGCGTATAATTTTTTGAGTAAATCTGATGTGTCATAATATATTTACACAAAAAATTTAGATTATTTATTTTTAGCTCCAGCGGTTGTTTTATAACTTTTGTATTAAAATATATCATCAATAACAACTAACTAGTGTCATGCCTAGACCCCACATAATTTTTACAAACCTACTTAATATAAGATTGATTAATGAGAAAGAGTAAGGAGAAAGAAAATATGTTAATGTGGCTATGTAAAAAGGTTGTGTAAAATACACAATAATTTTATGCATCGGTGACGTGGCAGTATATCTTAATAAACTGCTGGGGATAGAAAAAAATTTACACATCATACTTGACAGTGTATATTTTACACAAAAGAGTATTTTAACAGACTGTTGGATATGCTCTTATACATTTGAAAAGTTTTAAAATCCCTTAATTATTTACTTTCCTTATTCGAAATTATACTGTAGCTTCTATGGAATTCATTTACATGAAGTGTATAATTTATTAAGTTTTATTATAGCAAATAATAGTAATAATGAATTACTGTTTGGCTTCTTGAGGAAGCCTATATATATGGCAATGCGATGCACACTCCGTAAATCATCACATTATCTCCTCTACCATATTTGCGTATTACTTTTCTTGCTATTATCTCTACCCATATCTTTCATCTACTTTACCTATATTTCACTATTTTGAACAACTCGACATTAGCTACTTCGTCACTTTGCCTTTATGTGGTCATGCACATAGAGGAGGCGTCGCTGAGAACTGATTAAGTTGTATCTTGAAATTAACTATCACTTTCCACACTTGCACGCAAGAGAGGGCTATCAACTTTAGGTCAATGTGTTTATCACATGCCTCTCTATATCTGTACCAGGCCAACCTTTCATTAACTTTACTTTAATATTTTACTTGTTTTAATTTCATTGTATTTTACATATAACAAATATATTATAAGTGTCTATATATATTTGCATGCAACTAAATACACAAAAAACTACAATATTCCCATTGGTTTAATTTTTGCAAAACTTAATTTACTTGTCAATTGTATTCTTATAAAGTTAGCGTGATTTATAGTATTTTTGCGCGTAAAATTATATTTCGATAATAATCTAAAGTTGATATTTTCTTCAAATAGCTTATTGAGTAATAGCCCAGTCTGCTACGTTTGGTGAAAATAAATGGAATGGAATGCAACTCGGAATGGAATGAGAATGAGAATGAAATGGAATGGAATGAAATGAGAATGAGAATATTATTTCATTATTTAGTGTGACACGGTGAATCGTTATGGAATGGAATGATTATTACCATTCTATTGTTTGGTTAATCATCATTAAATCTGGCATGGAATGATTTTTGGCAAAAATGCCCTTTTCAATAGCTTACATTACTTTTTAATAAAAATCTAATTAAAATTCTGACGATGAATTATGAAATGTTTTAAGATGCCCAATACTGCCATTGAAAAAAATAAAGAAAAACCTTAAAATAAAATACAATATTATTTTTAACTCCAGATGATTGTTAATTTTTATTTTATATTATCATTGCTCCATATATAAATGTTCGAAGAGAGAAATATAGAGAAATTACATAAACGTTTCAACACAAAGATACGATAAAAAAAAAAATAAAAAATAAAAAAAAAGGTAGTATACTCAAAAGATAAAAAGATTAATACTTACAATTTGGTTAAAGATTGTGTAACTTTTTGTCAATGGCAGCCTGGGTATATTCAGAAGAGAGAGAAGGTGAGAGACTTTTATCACGTCTAATAAAAAAGTTGAAAAATGGAATGTGAAATATTTTTTTTCGTCTATAAGAAAGATTTTTGCCTTATTGAAATG